TGCCAAGCACGGGACTTCACCATGAGAGGGACTTCTTCAGGAGGTGTGGGCCTGTCTTCGCACTCACCCAGCTCAGAGCTGTGGTGTGAGGCAGACACACACGCTGCGGGTGTCTGGTCGTGCGGGACAGCACAGCCCTGCCGCCGGTGACACCGCCAGGGAGAGGGAGACGTGGTCTTGCCCTGGCCTCAGCTTCTTGTGCTGTTTGGTGACCATGCAGTGAACCGGAGCACCGGGCTCCTCTGGGATACACCAACCCCTTTTCTTCTGGGTTAGTGTTCAGCTTGTCACGTTCACCGCAGCAGTGGGTGAACGCTTGCTGCTTACGAGGGAGAAGGTGATGGAGGACGAGGGGACCATGCTGCTTAATGGCAGTGCTGGCTTAAGCCAGCACTAAAACTACAGTGTGAGACAGGAATACCTAGCTGAAAAGGCTTCTTAGGAACTTGAAAACCTCCAAGCGTGAGAGCTCGGTTCAGTTGGCTGTGGTGTGCTCTGATAAATAACAGTGGGTGTTTAAAAAACACCAGCATCATGAAAGTAACTGATTCTTCCAGAAACTCTTAATATTTCTCAGTATCTACAATGTGGTGTGGTTTTCTCGTGTCCCCAGTGCAAACGCGGGAGGACAGGAATCCCCTTTGTCTGGTTTTGGATGTTACCTCACACAGCAATGCTTTTCTTGTAGCCAGGGCTCTTGGGGTAAGCATTAGTGCTGCTGTCATAGTGGCAGCGTCAGTTGTTCAGCTCTGGAGGTTCAGCACAGGCTTCTCTCAGTGTGAAGTACCTGCCAACACTCAGCAGAGGCCAAGAAGGGCAGTGTGGGGAGTTTTGGGTTTGGTTTTTCCCAGATCTCCTCTGAGTCAGCGCCTGAGAAAGCCAGGTGCAGGTACTTCTGGAAAGGGGCAACCCCTGGCCTTTGTGGAATCCTTTCTGAGCCCTGTGCCCATCCTGCAGCCTCTCTGATGTTCCTCCTGAACTTGAGGATCCCTCTGTGCTACTTCATTCTAGGGCACGCAGGTTTCCCCAGGGGCAGGCAGATCTGGTTGAATGGGCATGCATTCTTAGCAAGAACCATCTGGCAGTCTCCGAAATGGGGCAGAGCAATGGGAGAGTAATGCTAACTCCAAAACCCAACCCCATGGGGCAAGAAGAGGTGAGCAGAGTCAGGGATGGACGATAGGCTGGAGTTTGGCTACCGTAATGTGTTTGTTGGGAGGAGCGTGCCTGTTGTACTCTGTACTCTGTGGGTGAGAGGTGGAAGGTGGTGGAAGAATGTGAAGGGGATCCAAACTTTGGCAGCAAAGGGCAGCAGAGGCAGTGCCAGGCTGCCCAGAGGAGCACTGCATGTCCCTGCTGCCTGATAAACAGACCTTGGAAGGCATGTGTAGGCTTTGGAGTTTGCTCGGAGGCTGTCCCAGGGAGGAGAGGTTGAGCGTGTGAGTGCTGAGCCCTGGGCCAGCAGCAAGGGGCAGACTTCGTGGGCTGGCTCTGATGTAGCTCTTTTCTCTTTGGGGTGCAAAGGCTTGGCACCAGGAGCACTTGAGACATGCAGCTACCAAAAACGGTGACACGTGAGTGTCGCATCCATCTCAGATGTGTGCTGCAGAGCACCTCAGCACTCCTCTGCAGTTAAGAGCTGCTCATGCACTGCCAGAGAAGTCTTTAGCTCTGCTTTTGAGGTCAGGGATAACCAAGGCAGTGGTCAGGCCTTTTGGTGACAAAGTGGGGCTGGAGCAAGCTGGCATGACACTCCCCTCCTCCTTCTCCCGATTCTGGGAATCTGAGCCTGTGGCTACAAGCCCTGGCTGGCCCTGGGCAGGTTGTGGTAGGTGTGCACTGGGTAAATGGCCTTTCCCCACACTGGCCCCTTTCCTCACCAGCAATGCCAGGAATTGGGTTTTCCCAGCACCTACCTGCAGTCAGTGCTTTCATTTGCTCTGCTCTGACAGTGCAGCTCTGTCCTGCTCAGCCCTTCCCAGCAGGAGCAGCCCAGGGCTGGCAGCAGCCACCATGGGGATGCAGCCACTCGTGCCTGCTGGGGACCCCCAAGGACCAGCAGCATACCCTGGTCTTCAGGAACCACAGCAGGGCCAAGGCACAGGTCGTAAAGCACTTTGCCTGTTCTAGCACCCAGGCTGTGTCTGTCTTTCCTTAGCATTTAGCATGTTGTAGCAAGAAACCACAACAGTTTTTCTACAGTTACATGAATATACTCAAGGTGGGAAGCACTGAAAGGAATGTTTTGACTCTGACTAGGCTTTCTGTTTTTCTCTTCTTCCAGGAATATGAGTCTCTCGAGCAAGAAAATACCTCTCTGAGAAGAGAAATTGGAAAGCTAACAGATGAAATGAAACACTTGAGTGAAGTGTTGAAGGATCATGAGAAGATCTGTCCACTATTGCACTGCACCATGAACTTTGTGACCGTACCAAGGCCTGATGCACTCACCAGCTGCCTGCCGAGATGAGAGCCTTTAAATGGGATGTGTGAAAGTGCCATTAATGGGGGATCTGAAGAACTGCCTACTTACGGTACAAGTCTTCCATCAAAGGGGACTGGACTCGACCATACAGCTCTTCTCCACATTGAAGTGTTACAGCCTTCTGAAACTCAGGAAAACACCAGTATGGAAAAAAGACAATTTGAACTACGGCTTCTTATTTGTTAGAATCTTTGAGCCACAGTTTTGCATCCAGAAATGTCAGTGTGGTAAATTCCACCATCATGCAATGGGATGGAGACAGGGAAAAGTACCCACCCTGGGCTGGGATGCGTTTCTCCCACACGTCCACTGCCAGTAACCCTTTGTCACTTGTCATCCATGTATATCATGTTCTGGCTGCTGTTTTTTCTTTACTTTAAATAGTTTTGGTTAATAAAAGTGATGTCCTATCTTTATGATGTTCTCCACCTTCTTTGATACTCAGTGTCCTTATAACATCTCTACTTTTTCTTCACTGTTCAAGTCCAAATTCTAATGCTGATCTTCCTGTCAGTTGTTTTAGTACTTGTTGATTGCCTCTTCCTTTTTGGAAGTGTTGTATCAAATGAGTTTTCCCTATCTTTATTTCTTTAATATCCCCAACCATCCATCCTGCCAGTGTTACTTCTTGGAGTGGTTTATATCCCAAAATACAGCGTGGTCAGTTTCTAATGATGGTTGTCTGCTCTGTGTGGAAGCCAAGTGAAGCAGAGTTTACTGGTTCTACACATTGTTTTAAAAAGCAGATTTTAAAATTACTTTTTTTTTTAATGTACTCACTGGAAATTAACAGATCTCTTTATCCTTCATCTTGCATATTGCTTCTGGAAAGTGATGTCTATGGATAGAACAAATTGAGTTTAGCAAAGCATTTTGCTCTATGTCCACACTGAAGATGTTTGATAACTGCTTGCAAGAAAAACATTGTCTTTGTTAGAATTATGACAACGTTGATGAGAAATATACAGAACTATGTGTTTTCCTTCTCTGAAGATTCCTAGTAGTGCCGAGCTCTAGAAATAGAAATGCTGTAGCCTGGGTTCCAGCAAAGAATGTTTTTCTCACAGTATTTCCCAGTCAAAGAGCACCTCTGGATAATAAGAAGCTCGACCCCTTTGCCAACTCTCACTTCAGCATTTGGATTCTTTTCAGTTCAACTCGTGGGATTGATTTCTCCCTTCACCAGGATCGTAGCATTTATCAGCAGAATATGATCTGAAATGGCTGAAAGATCTTTCTTTCTTCTTTAGCTTCTCGAGTAGAATGGAATTGGGGAAACCCTGTGGCCAACTTTGCCTTCTAAAGGGCCCTCTCCTGTCATTGTCTTAGGGTAGAAACTCAAATAACGGGTGTGAGCTGCTGGCTTCTTTAAAAGTTCTCATTGGGTTGTCACCAAGAGAATTCTCAGCATTTGCAGAAGCCATCTACAGCTTTCAGAGTTCCTTATGGCCCTGCAAGAACTGAGTCATCCTGCAGAGTCCCTGCCAAGGAAAAGGAAAGTTTCGGAGCACTACAGAATATCCATTTTGGATAACATCCTTGGTATGCATCTGTGTGTCAGCCCTGAGAAAGGATCTTTAGCATCTTCACCTGCTCACCTGTGTTCCATCGGGCCCTGGATGCTGCTGTGTAATTTGGGCACAGTAGAGGTGTCATGGAGAAGAAGGGGCACGGTGGAAATGAACAACATTCACTCTGGGAGGAATTTGTTATAGCTTAGGATGGAGTGAGAGAGGATGTCTCACATCTCTTAACTACGTGTGTGCAGCTGAGCTGAGGCTGGGAATTGAAAGTAGCTAGTGAAGGTTGGGGCTGGTGCAAAATCATGGTCTGTCCTATGGAGCCCTGCAGCCCCTTGAAAATGGAAGGAAAGATTAACCCCCTTGTCCAAGGCAGTCCATCCCAGCAGAATCCTTCTAAAGATGCTTGCCTTGCAGATGCTTGCTTCTAGAAGTAGAGATTTAGTTTCCTGTGTAAAATCCTCCACTTACACATTTATTCTTCTAAACATCTATCTAGAAACTGGTTCCAGCTAATCATTTGGTAATCCAAGTTCTACTGTACCCTCCATCAGTAAGCACTATTGCTCTTCTGCGATGCAGGCTTTAGCCCACTGTTTCTGCACTGGAGTTTCTTGGTTTATTAACCGTATAATGTCTATGCACAGTGTACAGGGGAAGACAGCTGAACTCACAGCAACCCTCTGTGCTGGCAACAGCAACCTAGTCCAGGGTTACGCTGCTTGGAAGGGCTGAGAGCCCTGCAGGGGCCCTCACTGCCACCAGTTCCTTCACTCCAGCCTGTGCATCATGTCCATCAGTAACAGTGGGCTCTGAACTCCCCAGGGCCTGAGCTGCTGCTTCCTCCTTCATCCATTGCATCACTTCTTTTCCCAGCACCATTTCCAAAGGGCTTTATGCATCATTCTTCTGTTTAATAGATAAACTGAACTGTCTCTTGCAAGCAGTACACTGTGTGACTAATGTTCCAGGACAAGTTTCAAAACTGAAAGTATGTTCTGGAGCCTGGGATAATTGGTACAGAAATAGGGAACCAGAAAGGAGAACAGAAAGGAAAAGGTCCATTTGCTAAGGAAGCAACAGGAAGTTCTTTTTCAAAGAAAAGCAGGGTATTACACCGTCACAAGAAGTGTTTCATACCTATGTGTGGCTAAAACACTGCTAGATGTATTCTAGCTTCAGAAAGCTTCCACTAAGTTCAACTTGTTCCCTGTGCATGTATTACATTCACATGCTTTTCAGACACAGGTATACCAGGAACATCTTCTCTGTGTTCAGGTGGTGGTTCATGTGAGGAGGACTGTGAATTGCAGTCTTGTTTGTGGATGTATAATGTAGATGAGGGTTGCCAAGAAAGCTGGGGTTTGCCTCTTAGGTTCAGAATGAAGGTTACAGTTTGTCTAGATTTGGTTTGTGTGGATTTCCTTTTTGTATTGTCTGCGATTCTGATGAAGAAGCAAAATGCTGAGTGCAAACTTACCCACAGATAAAAGCATCCATTCCAGGAGCAGATAGGGTCCAATTCAGCTATTTGTCTATTCATTTCTTTCAGTTGTTGTTAGGTCAGATTTAAATTGATTATATTTTGAGAAGATAAGTTTAGCCTCCAAAGTATAAAAATGAACAGCAAGATGAAGTCAAGCTTCCCCAAACTGCTACTGTGAGTATGACAGAGATCAACTATCATATCTCAAGGGAGCTGATTAGAAAGTCTTGCTCCTTCCTACTGATGTTTTACATTCATGTCCGTGAACATTTATAAGCATGTGTAAAGATAAACATGAAGATGAACATTTATCTTCACGTACTCATCCAGAATCTTGCTAAAAATGCACCTTTTAAAAAACACATTTAAAACAGCCTAATCTACACACTTGCTGTTCTTTTCCCTGGCACCTTTTGCAGTCGTCTGCTGCTCCATCTGTAATACCTGCTGATCCCATCTGCATTTGGTATTTGCAGTAGCCTTTGCATTCTCTCACCATTTTATTTCAAATGTTGCTTTTTTACCTTTTCCCCATTTCCTTCTGTTCCTGTGTAGCTCGGTGACAACGTCACCCGATGTTACCGGTGTTAGAGGAACAAGGCTCATCTGTGGGAGCAGAAAGGAATTGAACTCCGTTGGTACGCCCTAAATATGATTAAAGGCTCGTGTGTGTGGCTAGTTTTGACAGCTGAATATTAAGGAAGGTGTCTGTGCACCTTTTAAGATGTACTTCAAAGTGGCATAACCTTTACTCTAGCCTATAAACCCCATGCTGTTTCCTGTCCATAGATGAACGCTTTGCTGCATGGCATTTGGGGTTTCCATCTGTGAATCAGTCTAGAATTTCTGCCTCAGTGAAAGTGATAGAAATAAGAACCATTTGAAAAAAAAAATCCCTTTTCTCTTCTTCCCATCAGTGCAGCGATACAATTCCTGTCACAGGAAGGAAGCACATCTGATAAGCAGGAGAAGTGGTGGGTTTATTTACTGTTATAAAGACTGCTGTTACTCTTGGTAGGAAGGTAGGAGTTTTCTGTTTGTAAACCCTGGATTCCTGTCAAGTGGTCACTGGAGAAACACTGCGTGTACATCCAGCATGTGGTGTGTGGGGGCAGGCATCCATAACGGAGTGCAAGAATTTGGAGTAATTATTTGCAGGAATGTGGGGTTTACATTGATTTCACTGGAAGCAGAAACAGCCTCAGAGGCTATGCGGCACTGCGCTTACTCACTTGGGTAATATTTAACTCAAGAACAGCTACAAGCTGACTTGAAGTGAGTAATTCTAAAGAAAAATACCATAGCAACAATCATCCCTGCATGCTCCTCTTCTGGTACTCGTTAAGGTTTTTTCCCAGATAGCTCCTATGGAAAAAAATCCTTAAGAATAGAGTAGGATTTGGGGGCTTTTTCCCCACTGTAGAAATGGCACCAAATATATTCTGGAAATAGCTGGCGTAGCTTTTGCAAATGATCAGTTCTCTACTAGTTGCTTGTTTGGTCTGCTGTAGGGAGCCACCCGTGTGCTGGGCTGCATCAGAGGGAGCGTGAGCAGCAGGTCAAAGGAGGTGATCCTGCCCCTCTGCTCTGCTCTGGTGAGACCCCACTTGCAGCACTGTGTGCAGGGCTGGTGTCCTCAGCATAAGAAGGACATGGAGCTGTTGGAGCAAGGCCAGAGGAGGCCACGAGGATGATCAGGGGCTGGAGCAGCTCCCATATGGAGACAGGCTGAGAACATTGGGGCTGTTCAGCCTGGAGAAGAGAAGCTGTGTGGAGACCTCAGAGCAGCTCCCAGTGTCTGAAGGGGGCTACAAGGATGCTGCAGAGGGACTCTGCATCAGGGACTGGAGCGACAGGACAAGGGGTGATGGGTTCAAACTGAACCAGGGGAAGTTCAGGTTAGAGCTAAGGCAGAAGCTCTTCCCTGTGAGGGTGCTGAGGCGCTGGCACAGGGTGCCCAGAGAAGCTGTGGCTGCCCC